TGTCGTCTTAAAGCTGAATCGAAGTCTCCATTTCCCCCATACAAGCACAAAGAGGGAAGGAGGACTTGGAGAATGGGATCCAGAAGGGATGCTGGATGTAGTGAGGCAGAAGGAGGCTGTATACAGTATTTGAAGTGACCTGTTTGGTCATCTTCTAGTGACAGAAGATGAGAGTATGACCAATTATTTAAAATTACAAACTGTCCTGGTTAGTGCTCTGGTTTATTTCGGTATGAACACTTAGCACCTCACAGCTGCCAGGTTGCTGCTTGGCCTAGTTTGTGTGTTAAGAACGGGAGCTGTGAAGGGGTTGAGGAGTGGTGTGGGGAGGGATGTGGAGTGGAGGTTTGTCCATCCTGGGCTGTCTCTGGGTTCCCCCTACAGCAAAGCTTGCTGTGGGCACTGAGCTTCATCCCCTAGAGCGTGTGACAGCGGGCAATGTCACGCTAGCTGAATACTGGTCTGATCTGGGATGGCAATTCCTGTGCTCTATAAAAGTCAAGCAGTTCAGAAGTAATAAGTCCTTTTCTAAAGGGAGCTCTATATATTATGCATGAAGTTTTAGAACCGAGAGAGAGGAGATTTCAGTTCATTAGAGTTGAAAACTCCTGTAAATCCCTCAGGCTTTGCAAAACCATCTGGCACACGTTCTACCCTGCACACTCCCTTCTGCCTGATCTCTTGTCTACTGCAGGCACTCTTGTTTTTTCCTAACCTCTTTTTCCTTTGCCTTTCCTGCATACTCCACCAGTGGGATCACATCCTCTTAAAACATCAACTGAAGGCAGCAGAGGGGAGCATAATTAGAGATGTTTATGGGACTCTGCCCATATGAAATTGTCTAGCAGTTGGAGACACTGTTACAACTAGCTTTTAGACTCTCACACTTGATGCCTGATTCTGGTTATAGAGCCCGAGTGGTGATTTTATTTTGCTGGACCCTTGCCACAGAAACACCAGTTCAATGTGACCCATCCATGGCACAAAAAGCACATGTCATGAGCCTGAACTGCTAAAATTTGTCATGAGGGTGGGGTTGCAATGTTACCTATGTGTTTCCTTGCTCAAAGGGAGGAGAAGAGAGAGCAGTAGACTTCCCAGACCATGCAGTGGATCCAGCAGTGTGGGTTGTGGTGGCTGGGGAGAACTGTCTCAGCAGCTCTGGTTTTAGCATCTTATCACCTGTTATCTGTCTTCTTGCAGGAAAAGCTCAAGTACTTCCCTGTTTGTGTGAACACCAAAATTCACCAGGAGGATGATGCAGAAGAAGGCCTTGGCAGCCTCCCCAGGAACATCAGCTCCCTCAGCTCGCTGCTGCTCTTCAATACCACTGAGAACTTGTGAGAGCTGGAGCAGCACCGTGTGCTTACCTACCCCTGCTTCTCCTCATAGGAGCTTTCTCTTCCCTGCGGGCAGCAATAACTGCTTGCTTTGCTGGGGGTCTTACATATCAGGCTCCTAACAGGATAGGGTTTGGCACTTCTCTGTTAGCTTCCAGCTAGGAACCCTGTCTTCCTCGCTCTTCCCGTTGCGTGGAAGGAATTGTTTTGTCTGACCTGATCTTCCACTCGCCTGCTTTCAACCCAATTTTGCACTTCCTTCCCCAACTTAAGTTTTACTGTCATTCCCCTGTAATTCTTCTCCAGCCTTGAGAGCTGCTGTCACTCCTGCCCTTCTCTGCTCCATGTGCCAGCCCAGGTACTGCTCCTTCTCCTGATGATTCCTCACAGCAGCACTTTACCACCCTCGCTACTTTAAGGTCTCTATTGCCTCCCCCAATGCAGTTCCCTTTCCCTTTGGACTTTGCCTTATGATTTCTTCTTCTCTTCATATTAAAGAGCTTCTTTAAACCCTTCTTTAGCTTTCAACCAACGGACCCCCTCTCTCTTCACCTAAGCCATGGGTTATTTCCCTTCTTTGTCTTTCCTCCTGGACCTTGAATGACAAGTCACCAGAAGAGACTGGCATCTTGCTGCAGCCTGTAGGACTGTTTCAGGGAAGGTGGTGGGAAGGGGAGAGCTTGATCATTATGGCAGTTCAGTGGGGCTTTGCTTTGGGAGGAATGTGGAGCCTGCGTTGACAGGGTGCAGAGCTGATCAACTCCTGGTTGTGGAGGCATGGGAAAAAAAGGCTAAAAGAAGGCAAACATGTTCCACCTTTGTGAGTGAGTTGGGAAGTCTCCACCTCCAATATCTTCTTGATTACACTGTTTCTTTTGGCCTTAGCTCTGGCAACATCACTGAAATACTTGTCCTCTGCTGTTAGGTACAAGAAGTATGTTTTCCTGGATCCTCTGGCTGGAGCAGTGACCAAGACCCATGTGGCTCTGGAAACAGAAACAGAAGAGAAGCTCTTTGATGCTCCTCTCTCCATCACCAAAAGGGGACAGCTGGACCGACAGGTGAGATGCAGCTGTGGGGCTGCAGCTATTTCCCCTTTGGAAGATTGTGCTCAGTTCCCTGAGAGGAGAGAGCTTCTGTAGGTTGGAGAGCAGGTAGAAGAATGGCCCATCATGGGGCTGCAGAATCTCTTCCTTATCAGAAGGACCTTGCCTGTTTTTGTGCTTGAAGTCCTGGTGTGAGCCTGATGACTGGGACAGAACCCTCAAACTTGGCAGGCATTTCTCTCTGCTCAAACCTTTGCAGAGCAGTGTGAGAAGAGTAACTCAGTACTGCTTCAGCTTGCTGATACACCTTGGGGATGTAGAGGAGTTTGGAGGCTCCATCACATGATCATCCCCCTTGTGCTAACTCCTGAGCCTCATGAGGAACCTGAAGGTGAGATGCCACTGCTAGGAGGTGCCTGGGAGGAGGTACGATCCCCATCATTCTTACTGGGAATGGGCACCTGCTGGTGCAAACAGAAGGGCAGCCAGCCTGAGCAAAGGAGCAATTTGCTTATCATGTTGGACCAGAGGAGGTAGCAGTGCAGCTGTAACAAGTTGGTGGTGCTTCTTCTGCATCCTAATCTCAGAAATGGTTCAGGCACCATTCTCTTCTAAGGGACAAGGGACTGGCTTGATGTAGGCTGCAGAAGTTGATGCATGCAATGTTCAGAGAAGAGAGTTCACTTGCTAGGAACTAGGAAGGGTGAGTCCTGCACCTTGTCTTCCTCCTGCAGCTTGCCTTTTCCAGGCTTGGTCTGCAAGGGATAGCCTCTGAGCACAGTTAGTAGCCTCTGAGCCAAAGGACAGTAGCACAGAGTTGTAGGGGTTTTTGATGAGCAGCCACCGTACCAAGGCACACAAGCCCAGCTCTGGCTGCTGCCCAGGCTCTTCTCTGCAGTGTCCCCATTTGCTGCCAGGGAAAGCAAGTGCGTAGTCACTACCTTTTTGCTTTGGGTTTCTTTCAGGTAGCTGAAAACTACTTCTATGTGCCAGATCTGGGCCAGGTCCCTGAGATTGATGTGCCATCCTACCTGCCAGACCTGCCTGGCATTGCTGCAGATCTTATGTACAGTGCGGATCTGGGCCCCGGCATCGCACCGTCCGCCCCTAGCAGTGCTATTCCAGAGCTGCCCACTTTCAACACTGAGTCTGTGGAGCCTTTGCAACCAGGTATTTCCAATCCTGATCCCAGGACCCTGTGAAGGAGGAATGCAGGGATTGCTAGAAGATGGAGACAAAGCAGAAAGTCACTTGGTGGATTTCAAGCTGGATGTTGGTGATACCTCTAGCTTGTGTTTGGGCTTGAGTAAAAGCTGCAACCTGCTCAAGTGCTGGCCAGACTCGGGGCCCCTCCCCTCCCACTCCCTACATGGCTAGGGAGGAGGAAGCATGGTCTGCAGGGTGTGCAGGGACTTAGGTGCCTCGTGGCAGCCTGGCAGAATGCCCTTGGGCAAGCTGGGCAGGCCCAGTGATAGCTGGGGAGTCTCAAACCCTGCCTGCTGTTAAGAGATGCTGTACAGGGTGGGAGTGCTCTGCTGCACAGTGTCTGCTGAGGACTCTGTCTTGCCACTGAGGCATTTGAAGCTCTGACATGAAACTCCCAGTGTGCTGTCCTCTGGGACTCTTCAGATGCAACTTCGTTCATCTTTCAGACCTTCAAGATGCTGAGCTACTGCCGCCTCCTCCACCACCACCTCCCCCACCACCTCCTGTTATGCCAACTACTGTGCCTCCACCACCTCCCCTGCCCCAGCCCACTGCCCCCTCTGAGCCAGCCCGGACAGCGAGTGAGGAGAGCAGCAATGCAGTGCCTGCAGGTAAGGGCTGGGTATCTCCACAGCTTTGCCAGCAGAATCTGTCTGACTCCTTAGTTTCAACCTGTGTCCTTGATTGGTTCCCTGTGGCTTCCCAGCCTTCCAGCAGAGGAGGGAAGCTGCTCCTGCCTGCTGGGGAGCTGCAAGCGTTGAGTTCCACCATGATGAGGCTGAGTGTGAACCTGTCACTGAGAGGTGTCTGGGCCTGGCTTACAGTCTCAGGCAGAAGTTGGTTGGATATCAAGGCAGCCCTTTCCCTGGTGATGTGGTTGGGCCTATAGCTGGTGCACTCACCTGTGGCTGCTACCTGTCCTTCTTGTCCCTGCAGCTTCAGTTCAGGGAGCCCCAAAGGAGGTGGTGAACCCTTCTATTGGGCGTGCCAGTCTTCTGGAGTCCATCCGCCAGGCTGGTGGCATTGGGAAGGCCAACCTCCGCAGTGTCAAGGAGAGGAAGCTGGAGAAGAAGAAGCAGAAGGAACAAGAACAAGGTACTGAGGCTGTTTAGCAGAACTGATCTTCCTTGCTGTCTGCCCCAGGCTAGGGAGCTGTACGTCTGGGAGGAAGGTGGGCTAGCCAGGAGCACAGTGAACCAAGAGAGGGGAAGGCATTGTCTCTCCTCACAGGCTGGTGTAGGTCTTTGGTGTTCCCTGTTCATCCAAAGCTCTGTGAACTCTCTAAACCCCATCTGCCATGGCATTCATGTTCTTGATGGAGACCCATTCTGTTTCAGGGCATGTGTAGAAGTTTCACACCTGCTGCATGGGGGACAGACGCAAAGGAAACCCTGGGGCCAAGATGGGCAGGACCAGGCTAGTCTGAGCATGTTGGTTTAGGTAACTGGGGAGGTTACTGCTGGAGCTGGCTTGGCAGAATGAGACTGCAAATGCCTAGCACCTCTTGCCTCTCAAGGAATTCCAATCTGAAGATTTCCCCAGAGATGTTGTTACCCTGCAGTGTTTTCCTGACCTGAAACTGGACTACAGTGGGAAAGATTAGGGGTGGGATACAAGATTATTAGAGGTTTCGTGGGATTTCTTGTACATAATCTGAAGTCAGTATTTCAGGAGAGTGCTTTTGCTGTAATGCTAAGTTCAGACTGACGTTTCTTATTGTCTGACTTGTTTTGCTGTTTCAGTGAGAGCTACAGGACAAGGTGGCGATTTGATGTCAGACCTCTTCAACAAACTGGTGCTGAGGCGCAAAGGTACTTACTGTCCTGCAGGGTGGGCTACTCCTCCCTAGGAAAGAGGGAGAGCCCTTTCTTGGCACCTCAGTGGAGTCAGCCACAGCCCTAGGAACAGAGACACTTTGCCTGGCAGGTGTGTCACGGCGTGGCTGGGAGTGTCTTTACAGAGTGAACAGGGGAATCTCCACCTCCAAGTCCCACTGGAGGCACTGGAAGAGGTTTTGTAAAGCAGAGGACAGGCATGGAAAGCAACCTCTGAGATAGGGACAGTGGTGCCTTTTTTAATCCAGTGTAGGGGCACCTGAGATGCCCCAAGGCCTTGACACATACCTGGGGCATTTAGGGCCAGTGTTGCCCCTCGGTACCTGGCACAGGGTAGAGGAAGTCATGGACTTGCTCAGGTGGAGTTAAGTGAGCCCTTGTGCAGGGCTGTGGTGGCCTTAAAGCGTGTTGGCTGGTGTGCTTGCCTGGGTCACCTGGGTGCTGTGAGCAGTGGTATGAGATGTCATTTTCTCCTTTGCTGAGCCTCTGTGTTCTCTGGTCTCCAGGTGTCACTCACTGGTGCTTTTCCTTCCCTCACAGGTATTTCAGGGAAAGGGCCAGGAGCCTCTGGAAACCCAGATGCCCCTGGAAGTCCTGCCGGTGCCTTTGCTCGTATGTCGGACTCAATACCACCCCTTCCACCCCCACAGCAGCCTGTGGGGGATGAGGATGACTGGGAGACATAGATGGGGTCAGTTGAGTGTCTGTGTGAATCCCAGGACTCTTGAACCTTTGAGAGACACCAGCTTGTGGATGTAGCTCTTGGAGGGTGGGCACTGACATTGCAAAGGGACCCTGTGGTTTCTTCTTGAAAAGGAGCAGGAGCAACAGGAGCCAACTGCTGCTGAGATTATAGTTACCAACGGGGGTTTTTCTTAGGCTGTGTTATTTTCCACCCCAAAGACTACTTTCCATCTCAAATGCTGCTGCTCATGCTGGCACAATAAATCCTGCCTTAGCTAGCAGGCAATGGGGCAGTCTGTGCTCAGAGGATCAGAACTAGCATTGCTCCTGATTTAAAGGGCCTTGGGTCTTTCCTAATGTGACTGGTGATGACTGCAAAAGCATCTCTTGCAGGCAAACAGCCCTACCCTCATTTGTCTCCTTGCTGCTTGCCTGAAGCTCCCACTCTGTTGCTAGAAGAAAGAATGAGTGTGCATGTCCCTTTGTGATGGTCTAATTCCTGGTGCCTCTGCACAGGATGGTTTCTTTCTCTACCTGGCTTATGGTAATTCCTTGCCTGTTGCTGTCTGAAAAATTTTAATAAAGTTGAAGGCAGCAGGACTTTGCAGCCTTCACTCTGGCAAAAGCAGGATGTGTGTTCAATTAAGAGTGTTACAGGAAGGCCCAGCTGTCTGCTCTCCTCAGGCAGGAGCTGCCTTAAAACCCAGCACCAGCAGCCCCAGGGCTGGAGGGCACCAGCTGTTACATGCAGGTGCCCCCCAGTCCCTCTGCTGCCTTCACTGGGGTTGAGGCCAGACAGTGGAGTGTGTACCTACAGAAGGGCAGGAGACACACTACAAAAGTTTCTCAGAAGCAGCTGTTTCTCTCCCTGTGGGGCTAATTAACATATAAGGAGTGGGTAACAGCTCTGTGTCTAATTATAAGTGCTTTCCTCATTCAAGAGCCCCAAGAAGTAGCATCCAGCTGCTGACACTGGCAAGGCAGCAAAAGAAGCTCCTGGGAAGAGGTTTGCTCAGGATGACAGAAAGAGCTGGGCATAGCTGTGGGCTTACAGAGGTATCCCTGTTGTGGTGTTTGCCCTCCAGCACTGACCCCTGAACCTAGGATAGAACCCCAGGAAGCTTACACACACACACACAGAAGTTTTACCATTTTCCGCAGAAGTTACCCTAGGCAGTAAAAAAGGCTGAGCAATCCTCTGCATAAGCATGATCAAAAGAGAAATGCTATGCTGTATTATGGCTAATCTTTATTACCTTTGGAAGAATGAGCCAAGAATGTCTTGACTGCTTGAAGCAAGGTAGAAAGAAGGGTTAAGAACTGTTACTCATGGCTGCCGTGTCTCTCCTCAGCCTGTGTCATCCTAACATGACACAAAGTAATGGCCTGATAGTGATTTTCACAAGAGCTGTAAACTGTTTTTGTTAGTCATCAAGCCACCTACACTTGGTGGTTGACAAGGCAGATGTGTTCATCCAAAATAATTATACTCCCCAAACGTGTTTGGGTTGAAAATATTTAATAGTTTTAAATAAAACCCTAACAGCTGTAAACAAAGAGAAGCCTGCTGCTACTGCCTTCCCCTGCCTCAGGCCTACAACCAGGGTCCCCTGCTCGTTATGGTGCTGAAGGCTGTCTCGCTGTCATAGAGCTCAGGTACTGAATAGCAAACATCCACAAAGGAAGCAGAAGGCAGAGATTCACAAACTCCTTGGTACAGAAAAGCAGGAACTTGTGTGGCTTCAGGTGGTCTTCAGAAGTGTAGCTTACAGATGTTCTCCAGTCTGCATCAAGAAGTGTCTAGCTTCCCTCGATGGAACTAGGAACACACAAAACCAGACAGTTTGGCCTTACTCTGGTGCTGGGACCTGCCTGCCTGCCCCAGGTCCAGCCTGGGCCTCAATAAAAGGAAGACTGCAACAAAAGTGAAAGATGAGTACAGTGGGATACAGTTTTGGTAGCACTACAAAAAATAAAACTTCTGACCTTTCTTAACTCTGCAAATGCTGATCCAAAGGCAGTTTTCACCTGGGTTCTCTCCCTGATCCACTGTGGCAGTTTGTTAAAGATGGCAGGACGTGCATACCTGTGGTCCAGGAGCACAATGCTTGCAAAGTCCTTCTGATGGCGAATGGCTCTGCCTGTACAGGGTGGACAATCACATTAAAATGGCCCACTCATGTTTGTTCTCAGGCAAGGAAGCTCATGTTCCCATCACTTCTATTTAAGTCTAATGGTAACATGCTCTTTTCCCCCACCCTCCTCCAGTGCAGTCACATTTCATATCCCCCAGTCTGTCTAAGGAAGGATGAATTACCTATTGACTGGTTTACTGCCTTCATGCACAGGTTTTCAATCAGCACTCTGCTAGGTGCCTGGCCAGCAGCTCTGGGCTGGAAAGGAGAAATAGGCAAGACTGAACACAAGGCAGATGTAAATCAAACCAGGGAGTCATAATGACAAAGTGAGGCAAATACCTTTATCCCTGCAGCATAATTGGGTGGTCAAGGAGACCCTAAGCCAAGAGTAAAGAGGGACAGGAGAAAGGATGCAGTCGGAAAACTATTGAGCATTCACAAAAAGCCAGCCAAAGGCCCTCTTGAAGGCAGAAAACTTGTCCCCAAGCTGTCCAAGAACAGCATCTCTAGCAGGCAGTGAGAAAGAACAAGTGAGCCAAGAGTGATCCACCTTGATCAGCTTTACCACCCTGCATCCTTCTCTGGGGTGAAGGGATCTATCTCCCTTTGGAACTTAGTGGTCCCAGGGAGCCCTGGGGGCATTTCTCTCTACTGAGCTTCTTCCCTGTGTTTAGGACCACCTGTACATGTACAGGATGGAGAAGGCTGTGCTCTTGGTACCTCATAGTCTGGGAAATGAGAACAAGCTGAGAGAAAAAAATATTTGAAGGCAGGCCTGGGACTTGTGTGCTGGGAGGAAAGTTCATAGTAAAAAGCCAAAGTGAAAGAGGCAGAGGTGTAGGTGTCTCTGTTACCATTGTTTTGTCAAGCCAAGTCATTTTTTCCTGGAGCTCTGGAGATTTAATGTTGGGGTAAGGCATTCCCACCATAATCACACACCTGCAAGGGGCAAGGGAGGACTGCATTATTCTTAGTGTCTCATCCGAGAGTGCTTTGCCAACAGACTGATAAATTAGAGGTCACTGTCCCCCTGAAAGACAGCCAGCCCCGAAAACTGAAGGCGGCACTAAAGCACAGCAGTCTGACAAGCACGTTCTGAACAGAAAGCTGCAGAGGGATTCAGGGTGTCAGAACAAGGAGTTTATCCAGCACAGGAAGCCTAACTGCATTACTCACATGAAAAGTAGTCTGGACTAGTGGGTTTTACACCACTCAGCAGACCTGGTCCTGTTGGTTTAAGCACCAACACAAGCCATGTGCACCCCAGGATCTTCTATCTATGCAAGTACTGATGTCTCCATCCTGCTTGCAGTCAACTGCAGCACAAGCCCAGTGCTCACCGTTCCAAGAAGCAGCCACCTTACCTTCCCAGGTCATCAGAGAAGTTGATCCCTTCACTCATTTTGCCTCCAACTACAGAAAGCAGCAGGGCCCCTGTCATCTGTCCTCCTGCCTGGCTGCAGCGCTGCAGGAGAGGGACCAGCAACTTACACCAGAGTAGGGAATATGTCTGTTTCAGAAACACTCCCACATCCTGGGCGAGAGCCCTCTTTCCTTGTTAAAAGCTGTGCTGCCCTTAGCAGCACTCCCATGTGCAGCTGGAATGCCACACACCTGCCAGCCCAACTTACCTTTATGCACTTGGCATATTCCACCAGCACCTGCTCCACCTGGTTGGCTTTCTTAGGCTCCTGAAAGATCTGTTACAGGCAGTGTGTCAGTTGCAGCAACAGGAAGCAGAGTTTAAATAAAGTAAATAATTTTACTCCCATGCCACTAAACTGCACATGGAACTAAGATGAGGGAAGGTGAATTGTCTGGCAAAACAACTTAACCAGCACCTTTCCCCTCCACCCTGGAAATGCACTGCATGTCCTCTACAGCACTTTTCACCTGAGCTCTGAAGGGAGCAGCAGCTGTTCCTGCCCATCCAACGTCCCCTTTCAGCTTTAGCAGACTTGTCTAATTCTGCAAGAAGTTACAAGTCGCCTGAGAGGTGAAAGGCAGGAAAGTAATGTGCACCTCTCCACCTATGAACAGAGATCGAGCAGGATGAGGAGACCCTCCAGCTGCAGTATCTTGGAGGACAATGACAGGACCAATCAATTTGGATCACCAATTTCAATAGGTCCCCTTGCCTAGTGAATAAGTAAGTTTTCTATGCAAAGCATACATAAAGTAATACTTCTTTACATTATTCTAGCATGTCTAATTAGTTACTGAAAGCCCCTGCAGTTAATTAAGCTGCATTTTGATAGATGCTCTACTTTGGCCTAAATCACAAGTTGTTTTCCTAGTAAACAAGGGGTGCAACATGTCTTTCCTGTGACAGTAAGGAACCTAAAGGATGCATGTTCTCTTGGTTAGCAAGAAGTACTATCAAATTTTACCAACCAGAATCAGTCTTTCAGTAGAAAAATAAATGGCACTTCCATACACAAGCTGAAACTATTTAACTTATAGCTGCTAAATCCTATAATTTAATTTTCCTTGTGTAACTTATATATAGTCTCAGTGTGATCTCACCACAGCCACCTCAGGAAAGACTTTAACTTTCCCTTGCTATGATATGATCTCGTGTGTGGGCAGCTGAAAGTCACACTTGCTGCGCTTCTACCAAATTGCTTTGCTAACACACATCCGATTTGCTGGAGACTGCAAAGACCAAACAAGAACAAACCAGAGTTGAAAGGCAGAACAAGCTGCGTGATAGTGGCAAAAAGCCTTGGTGGCCCCAGGCAGACTGCTGGGACCCTGACAGAACACACCGGAAAGGCACTATAAGCAATAGCTGTACAAACACATGGAGGAGCTGAAGCACAGTGCTTCCACCACAGAAACCTACAGGCAGATCTACATGCCAGAATGCCTGCACCAAGGCTGTGAAATATCGC